AGATTCGGAAGTTATACACAGGTAGGATGAATACATTTCAAATCGTCGGTTACAAAGGTAAGAGAGATAGTCCTTGGAGGGATATAACTTACCTTGAGCTGGAGCATAAATGTTGAGGTAGAGACAATCCTCACTTTGGTTCTGCAAATACGGTAACAATCTCTTTAAATATTCCAGTCTACCTCGGGGCATCTTTTTAAGCGCGGCAGTTTCGTTACGAATATCGGGCAATCTCTGGGGACACACAGGACTAAACTTGTCCGCAATTTTCACACCCGACCATAGAGCACCCGTTACCGGCGGCATAAATCGTAAGCTCCCCAAAGGGGGACTAGCGTAAGGTATACCACGAAACACTTCGACGGGTTCCAAATGACGCGAATCCAACGTTATGATCACACCACTCACGTCCCCGTATTTGGTCCTTACGGTGCGTGATGAAAGAGGTGCACGTTGATTGGGTGATGGTTCCGGGTTCCCCAAACAACCCCCTAATACAAGGAACGTCAACAAATGCGCACACAATATAGAACCAGAACCACCCCGGTCACTGGTGCCAAAACGCATCTCGAAGGATTTACAGAACCCTTAGAAAAACTCGTTTCTCTTTCTCATATTTTCCCTGGAGTGTTTCCCTGCGTACGCGAGAGTGGATCTGATGAGTTGCGGGAGTTCACCTCTTGCATTAATCATCCCTTTCGAATGCATGTTTGAAAGAAAAAACAAGAAACGGAACGTTTCATTTATGCGGATCCTTCAAGGATAATTATTTATATTTTGTAATCATTGTACTTCGACTATTATTTTCTACTATAACGGCTCATGTGGAACTATTAGTTGTGCGATATTAAATATTAAGTGGTTGATATCGGAAGCACTTAACGGTAACCACGACGGGGTGAGTGACGTCACGTGCCAAACGCGGAGGCAGACTGGCGTCGGATTCTGTCTAATGTTTTGCGCAACACTAGCGCCAATGACCTGTGCGCCTTCGCGGTGGTCCGACGAACCAAACTTCGATTTATGAATTCCTTGCACCCCGTCAAACTTTTCAAGATTAATTAACGGAACTTAAACACTATTTTCGTAAAGGTCTTTCAAAAATTAAACGGTTGATTGTAATCGTCGCTTTTATAAATTGAAACGTTAAATAATGACATAAAGTAGACAAAAAATGTGTATCGCTGACTCAAAAAAAAAAGGAAAAAAGCTAAGGGCCGATGAGGGTCTTCAAAGTTTTTTAAGTTTTAAACGGCTGAGAATATACGTCTCGGCCCATAAAGCGGTTGTAGTAAAAAGTGTTTTTTGACCTAGGATACAGGCTTCCACATTTCTATTTCGTGTTCAAATTTTTGCAAATATAAAAGAGATAAAAATGAAATAAAAAGGAACAACAATCTAAACTAACTAAAACACTGAAATTTCACCTAAATACTTTCTATTACATAAAGTGCATTTTGTCAACTTCATGAGCCAGCTTTTTTGTTTGTTTTTTAAAAATTGCAAAATCTATTTCATTAATTAATAACTGTTAATGTACCAAATTATTTGTCATCTATGTTCTATATATTGACACTGACACGATTATTGTTGCATAAAGTTTTGTCAATGTAATTTCAAATCATATTCCGGAAGTACAGGTTGAAATAATTTGCAGCGTTATCCTATATTAGTCCACACGACAGAGGATAAAATATTTTATTTTACAAGTGTAACTCACGATTGATAGTTTATTACGTTCAATTGAAGTACTTATGTATTAGGATGTATTATCCTTGTTACTTACGGTGTTTATCCTAGAAGTATTCCAGTAAAATAAACCATGGGACTTTTAGTATAGGTACATAAGCAATCGTTAATGTAACGATGGTTATTCAGTCTAAAATTTACCTAATGCGACCATCAATTCCTTCTTTACCCATACAGAGACTGTGAGAGATCCATAAAAACACCTAGGCAATAACTGAGAGACTGTGAAAGACTATGAGAGACGCTCTCAGAGACGCTGAAAGACTCTGAGAGACTGGAGAGACTAAAAATTTTTGTCTAGGTTGGGTAGGACACCTTCTCAGGCATGAAGATTGACTCAGAGACATATTAGAAACAGAAGCATGAGTTAGGAGGAGCAGATGTAGACCTAGATTAGATTACTATTCGCAAATAGTTAAAGATGTGGGATGTTCTAGTTTTAGGGAAATGCGAAGATTAGCTCAGGATTGGAAAGAGTGGAGGTGCGTGTCCAACCACTCTTATGACTGATGACCTTATGATGATGATAAACCAAATGCAGCCCTTACAGTTTCCTCATCTATATCTATCTATATTATACCGTTGTAAAACGAATTATCTAACATATACATTATTACTAATCGATTAAATGTAGAAATATCCAAAGTTCCTAATCAATTAAAACAGATGGCATAAAAAACTACCTTTTCAATTAAAATCCTATTGTGTTCAATCCTTCACAGATATAAATAATAAAGTATTTAAACAACTGGGCCACGTTTGGTGCGTACGTTTCGTCGTCACGTCCCCTCGTTATTTCACCTGCATTCAATATTGATGCTTATGTTTATTTTATGAGCGGCCTCCCCATGTTTTCCTTCGCATTACAAGCCACCCTTATTCTCAGATCCTTTTTGATACCACTTCCTTCTATCTTTAAATAACTTGTGGAAAAATGGTTGTCGACTATTACAATTTTCGAGAACGTAAGAAAAATAGTTGACCAAATGTAATGTAGGTGCATAAACATTCTTTAAACAAGCTTCTAGTTAAAAAAAATGAAGAACTCATTTAACGTTTGAATCTGCTGATTATGAGTTTCATGTTTTCTTTTGTTCAGGGTTTCTTGATGAGTTATCTACAGAATCAAAAGTGTTCCTGCTAAATTGTCCAGATGGCGCCTACAGTACCTTTCCGAGGAAATTCTAAGTACAACAAGCTTACTTACAAATGCGCAGAACAAACAGAAAGTTTGAAACTGTCCAAATACAGTTCAAACTCTTTAAGGAATGTCAAGGACTGGAGTAGTTTGCTACTGTATCATGTCTGGATATGTATCCTATTAACCTATTTCGCTCATTTCTTATTTAGCACCCCCTGTCCTGTTCCTTCGAATACCTCCTCGTTTCTAACCTCTTCTATTAACGGTATTTTTGAAATAAGCAACAGCTAATCAAATTTTTCCAAAAACAAAATAAAAACTGAAACCAGAATGTCCACAAACAGTGAAGGGAAAACGAAACAGTATACTTTCTTCAGTGTGACCTGATAATGGTGGTAGTATTATTAATACACCGCAAGTTTGTCGAGACAAATTTCCCTTGTAAGCGTGAAGTAAACAACCAGATGTATAACAAATGTTGTTTTCCTATGAGTAACGATAAGGGTGCTATCCCTTGAAGTAGGGGATGTGTGGGAATTTGGAGGAGTACAGCAGGTGCAGAAGTATCGATGACACGCTATGATTGTGTTGGGGTTATGGGGTTGCAACCCTGATAATAAACGACTAGAACTGATGAAAGTGCTTCTTTTCTCCCGCTCTGCGAAACAATGAAACTGGTTTTGGTAATATGTTTGAATTGTATCAGTATTTGCCGTATTTTTGAATAAACTCACAATTAGAATGGGAAAGAGAGGAATATACTTTTAAAATATTTTTAATTGACTAAAGTATTTTTTAGAAGCGTTCGAAATGTGGTGTTATAGGCGGATGATGAGGATATCGTGGGAAGAAAAGGTTAGAAATGAAGAGGTATTGGAAAGAATAGGAGAACAGAGGACTCTATGGAAGACAATAAAAAATAGACGAGATAGGTTGGTAGGACACCTTCTCAGGCATGAAGNCAGTTTTATTGCGAACTAAGGGAAATTCAAACGTCCCAGCTATATTTAATTTTTCTTTGAAGGTTTTTTATTACTTTCTAGAAAAGATTTAAACCTTGAAGGACCTCTCAGGAAAGAATGTATTTTGTATTCTAGATTGTGTAGCCTCGTTTTCGTTGGATTCACTTGTGGCAGGGTTTGAAGTGTAGTTGACAATACTGTCGACCTTTAAAGGGCTTAGACGTAGCCGTAGGGCCGTGGGGCAGCAAGTGGGTCCTTTTCAAGCGCGAGATGATGGTTTCGAGATCGCGTGCCCCCTTTTTTCGTTAATGTTATGCTTTAGTGGAAGAGGCACAAGGGGGTTGGCAAAAGGTATTGATCCAGCCAGCGCCCTCCGTCTACCTGCGGCATGGCACTCTCTGACCTCCGCTACGCAGTTAATTTAGCAGCTATTTTTAGTGCTATAGAATTTCCAATTACAACAAAACTGTGGTCGAAAAACAGAATATTAAAACGTAAAAAACACGAAACTAAATAATACTCTTTACCTACTTATTCATTATCAATTTCAAGTAATGATGACTTTCAAAGATCACGTAACCCTTTTTAAGAACTTTTCTTAAAGCCTTTCTTGTTTTTCTTTTTCGTTTTTAATTTACCACGAATGTCAATCACCTAAAATTAGAAAGGACAAGAATTTTCTTGCAACCAAACTCAAAACTGCAATTTTCCGATAAATTCTTTTCGTTTAATAGACTTTAAACGTTACAAGGCCGAAGACGTTTGTTCTTATTTCTAATGCTTGTTAGAAATTATTGTCAAAAAATTACGGGCAGAGCCTGTTATGTAAAAAAAATGTGTAAATCCATTTAAACTGCGTAAGAGGGTGAGTACGCGTTATTTTTGTTTTATTTTCTAATAAAATACGGTTGACAGTGAGGGGACCGCAGGGTGCTAAAGGAGGGCGAAAACCCCCTGTGAACCAACTGGTGTTTTAATGGAAGGTACACAATGGGATGCTGCAATGACAGTGACGCAGGATGTGTAATAAGCTATATTTCATAACGAACGCCTTCAATGGCGAAAATTCCGGGTAGAAGTCTTTCCCTGTAAAATAAACCAACACGGGTTTAAATAAATACTTTAAGACTGTCGCATCTTTGTATAAGTGTTATTGGCTGCATCATTTTTAAAAATTTAATAGGACAGACATTAGTAGAATGAAGACTGGGTCGCTGTCGAGACTTGGAGATATAGTCTACGTTCCCATTGTCAACACTGAGGATGTCAGCCGCAGTAGCTGACGAAACGTCTGGACAGAATAGTTCACTTAGACCACGGCCCTATAGCCCGAATCTCCATTCTACTATGGATTCCGGCGGTGAAAGCCTTTGTTCTTATATACGACAGACAATGTTAGTTCAAACTTCAGCAACACCTCTATGGATATTTTGGAAGATTCTTTATGAGAATTGCAATAGTTCTTTGAAGGGAGAACATTTAAAAGTAAGTATTTATAAGACCCCTAGATTTAGATAACAGCAGAGGGCATTTTGAAAAGGCTCTAAATGTAATAGTCACACTTACAGAATCGCTAACCGATCCCGAGTTGCCAGCTGCCAATGGTGTTGAGGACAGCCATTTTTTTGGGAGTGATAGTATAGAATCCCTCCATCCTGAAAAAAAAACAGGAATCATTTGCAACCAAATTAAATACAAAACAAATGTGATGGTATCCTTTGAAGTTATAAACAAAACGTTCGAAAGGATCACGAAGGTTACATTTTCTACTATAAATATAACCCAAAAAATTGTCTAGTTATCGTTATTATCGAATGAGAACCCGAGATAAAAATGTTGAGTCTCTCAGAATCTCTGAAAGCGAGACTCGAGTCTCCGTCTCTCATCGAGTCTCTCTGGTGTCGCTGAGAGAGACCGTCGGGAAACTGTTTAGCGTCTCTGAACGAGAGACCCGAGTCGCTCATAGAGAGATCCTCATTTCGTATCCAGTCTCTGAATGAGAGACTCGAATCTCTGAACGAGAGATTCGAATCTCTGAATTAACAATTTTATCGTTCGAGTTTCTCAAACGGAGACTGTGAGAGATCCATAAAAACACCTAGATAATAACTGAGAGACTGTGAAAGACTGTGGGAGACGCTCTCAGAGACACTGAAAGACTCTGAGAAACTGGAGGGAGACTGAAAATTTTTGTCTAGAGAGGCAGCTACAGCTATATGTCTAATCTTGACAAACATTACACTCTGCAAGAGCAGTTCTCTCGATGCTGTATGGACTTTTCACAGTCCAATCCTACAGATTACACTTCTCGAACAATATTAGAACATACGTAATCTCATCTTACAGTTGTGACACAGCAGCTAATCCGCGAGGGGTCTTTTAATTACTGTTAAGTGACATACTTAGTCATGATTTATTGTGGGGTTGTCTTGTGACATTTATTAGACGGTTCCCGTGTGCCCTCATAATATTTGCCAGACCTCCAGCTTTATTGTTATGAATGAAGATCTCTTTGTCAAAATTTCCACCCCACGAGCATTGCGACGTCGCATCGTATCGTTCGGTGGAGAGCGAGAGGCAATGAACATAAAAATCAAATGAGGTGGAACAACATAATGGACTGAAAGATGTTACTTCCTCGTTGCGTGAACTGGAGGAGTGAGAAACCGTAAACGGTTTTTGATAGACCATGCTCATTATGAGCCTCTGCTATATCGCAGTTACAACCCACGGTACGGATTATTGATCTGTTAAATATTCCGAAATATTTATAGGTACAATTTAGAAACATTAACGAAAAAGTTTTACGATCTTCCAGAAGTGGTCTTCCAGAAACAGTTCCTTCAGTGAGAATATTAGCANCAGAACAGAACGAATCGATTGAAAACCAAAATGTTTACGATACATAAATATATAGAGATCAACGACTGGAGAAGCTTGTCATTTTTCAAAGTCAAATAGTTCTTCTTATTTGTGAAAAAAAATTTAAATTTCTCAACTTTTGAAGGTTTCCTCATAAATAAAACCTCTCACCAAGCTTCATACTATAATGTCAGACGTCTTTTCCCTGGACGGAATTAGATATAGATATATGTAAACTCACCAACTCCATAATTTTCAAAGAAATTTGCCACATCATATATTTTTAGATCTATTACCTAAATAGTCAGTTAACATGTTAATCTAAGTAGCGCTTTGATGTGAGTCAAAGTTGGTACCCAAAAGACTTTGCATGGTATTGAGACTATCTTCTAACGCTTGTGCAAATTTGGACGTACTAGTGATTTGGGATGACCAAAATGACGATAAGCAGAAAACAATACTACTAGATTTTATGTTATAAGACGCTCCATAACCATCCGGTTCAACAGGTCCGTATCCCATGAAACTGTCAATTGATGTTGCAACTTGACTGGTGGTTAAATTGAATCTATTCGCTATACGATATGACTCATCAGTAAAAATTTCGGGTAGAGGATGTGCGGCAGTAGGTGATGTTTCTTTTGCAGCTTCCCTTAGACCCAGTAAGTGGATGTCTATACCTTGGCCCAAAATATTATCCACCATTTCTTGAGTCTGTCTCTCAACCGCCCTTAGCCACAACTTTATTTTTTCTTCATGTGTTACAAGATGGAAAGTTACTTTTTTGTTGTTTGCATCTATGTCGTCTGTATGCTGGAGCATGGCTGAAGCCCATTCCAATGCTTCAACACTAGCGGAACGTATGCAGTCAACCCGACCCAATAAGAAACGCCTGGTAGAAGCACTTTCATATGTAGCAGTTAATTTTCCATACAATTTGTAATAAGCCAATTGCAAAGCTAATTGAACGTAAGCATCAGGGCTGACTTTGCACGATTTCATAAAGTCCTTTCCATAGCCATCAAATCTTAGAACCAAAAAGTCCAAATCTTTGATGAGATTGTCCAGGTATTGGGCGGCTTCTTCTATCTTTTGGAAATCTTCAATTTCCAGACACCATTCTAGCCTTTCTGGAAGGGGCAGATGGTCACATGCAGAAGGAACCTCGGTGTTTATTGGTTGAGATTCGGTATCTTTCAGAATCTTCTCCATCGCTGCTATGATTGCTACTGCTTCCGATGGAGAGTGTTCATAACACAGCCCACACGCACCGTCTCCACTTATTACAATTTGAATTGTTTTGTCGAACCATCTGTTACTTGAATTTTGACTGCTTCCTCCTCCATGGAGCATTTGCAAAGCTAAATTGGTTTCATCTCTGCCTCCGGCAACATGACCCTTTGCACCTCTCTGTACGTGGGAATTGAAATTATTGGAAAGGGCTTCATCTAAGCACAGTACCAGCAAGGCTTTTTCTATTAATTCCATATTCCTTCTATTTCTATCGTTTCTAAGAAGCTTCTGCCTCGCTTCTGCCCATTTTGGTCTCCTCCATCCAGTCAGTATTCCCACTGGAGGTGGCATAGGCAGACATGGGGCGTTATTTAATATATAAAGCAGCTGAGAACAAATCTCGTCTTCACTTAGACAACCTCTATCAGGCGCTTTTAAGACCAAGCAATAAAAGTGGTTCCTACATGTGACGATAATATGTTCTGAAGGTTGTTCCGTTGAAGCCGAAATAAACTGCTTGTCCCTTTTTATACCAGGGATTCTACAAGAAGAAAATAGGCGGTAGTACTGTGCCATGCAGAGCGGCTGACCGGGATTTCTCGATGTTGCACGTTCTAAAGGTAACTGCTTGTTGTCCAGCATAGTCTTATATGCAAGTGCGGCATTTAAAATTCGGGATGTAAACCTAGCGAGGTCTAAAATTGTAGTGAACTTTCTTGGTGGAAAAACCATACCAGGATTTGAGTTGATTGGTAGTGCTGCAGGGTTTCCTAGGTACATATCATTTAGCCAGTATTCGTATGCCTGAAATTAAAAGGTAAAACTAGGGACTGATTTAACGGTAGCACTTTGTCTTAAACAACATTAACACTTGGTAATTTATTGAGTAAACATTCTTAATTTCTTATTTTTTAGATGTAATTGATCATTTTCCTATATCTTTATAAATACACTTTATTTTCTGGATGTAATATGAGTTAGAGTTTTGTTTCAAACTTTCTCCCTAAAATTCTTGTTGATTTTGAGAAAGTAGATGAAAAGGGTATCAAATTGTACGGACTTGGAGTTTTATTTGCTTCAGTACCTTCACAACTTCTTAATTGGATTCAAATTTCATTTTAGAAAACAGTTGAATGCGAGAAACTTTTATAATTAGAAAAACCAACAGCAAGTATAAATAAACGTGAACATTTCAAACAGTATAAAATTAGATGCAGAAGGAATGAACTGAAATGTATTATATATACATAAAAGACCTAAAAATTGTTTATTCTTATTTTGGAAATATGGGGTCAAGGTTATAATTTCATATTAAGCTGGAATTATTATTTTACACCATTCGTAATCTTTTTATTAAAAACAAAACCAAAACCGAAATAGCAAGACCAAAACCATTGCCAAGACTGGGACAGCCTTGGTCTTGGTCTTCGTTTGGCCATCACTTATCACAATACTTGAATATGAGGATCATTTTGGATTCACAAGAAGAAGCAGACGCTTTGGCTAATGATTAACTCGTTGAATAAAAGGAAATGCTTTGCTTTAATACTTTCCAATTGACAACTACTTCCTCTGATTCAATTTCAGTGATTGAAGTACCTACACTAGCTTCAACCATTAAGAAAATATAAGACGTGTCTCACTAGTAGTAGATAAATAAAGTTTTGGCGAAGTTGAGCAAGTGACAACTTGAAAGCTATTCTTAATGGCACTTCTGTTGTTAAACGGAAGTTTGTAACTTTGTGGCAATCGTACATTGCTGATGCAGACGCGAGTATTAGTATTATTGTTATTATTATGGGTCGCCTTCTAGAAAACCACCTAGCACTGACTACACACAAATCCCTTTGCGTTATTCAAAGCGACCCCAGTTCGAAGTTACATTTCCCATCCAATTACCAAATGCACTTCTTATTAGTGACAGGAACTCAAGCACGTAGCGCAGTTCGAACTCCTTCCCTCTCTCTCTTTCTCTCTTTAGCTCGTCTCCTGCTTTCGTTTTTCCCTCGACGATCTTGTTAGCTATGAAAATTGTTTGATCACCGAATCGGAAGGTAAACGACGCATTTTCCAGTTCAGATATTTATCGAATTCTACCACGAGTTAAATATAATTTTCCTCGTTTGGATACCTGTTTATAAGCACGCAAATACTTTTTTTTTTAACATCCAAAGGTTAGTTATGTTCACGCAAAATTTTAACTTTATTACATATATAGATCAAAAGGAATTACTTATACCTATGGATTTTTTGGAAATAACTTCCTAAGTGTAGATACAAAATAGTCAAATATTCCTTGAATGTTTTAAATGATGCTGAAAGGAGGAGGAGGCTGTAACTGCCTCAGAGGATTAGGATTAGGATTAGAAAAAAGACGAAATAACTATGTGATATTCAAACGAATTTTTATGTGTTTTATGGTCATTATTTCTCGACCAGAGACACTTCAGTGACCATAAACAAACAGTGGCTGCAAACCTTTACCATTTCAATTCCACCCTTAATAAAATAAAACTTCAAACTCGTCAATGAGTTACTGGAGCTACTAGTCCAATGACTAATCAAGCTCAAATCATCTGTGCCACTAAACCTTACTCTTAATTATGAATTTTTCGGTTCAAATTAGAGCTATAGTGCTCTCAGGCTACATGATCCTCTACTAGTATTAAATTTATGTATAATTGCTTACAGAATAGGAAGAATATTTCAGTTGCTACCTAACTCTATATATGAGTATCTAATGTAGAGAAAGAGAATTGTGAAACAAACCCAATTGTCCAAGTTTTCTTGTCGATTCAGTAAATAAAGTTGTAGTTTTGGACCTATACCCTGTGGATTCCCAAACTCGTCAAGAAGTTTTCGCAGCTTCTTGAGCTGTTCTTCATTAAGGAGAGGTTGTAACGTCTTATCATATTTTGTTAAAGTTTGTTCTAAGGGAGGAACTGGAAGTTTGGGCAGTGTGATTGTTTCCTGAAAAAGAAAAAAGAAGCAAGTCTTAATACTTTTATTCTTTTTCATACATAGACTCATCCGCGCCTTCCCAAAATGCCCTTTTGTTAGCTACTGTGGAAAGAATTTGAGGCAAATTCCTTTCTGAACAGCATTAAATTAAATTTCAACGTTCGTAGTAGTCGAACCCATCCAAATTTGAACTAATCGGTTATTAATTCAAAATTTACATTAAATGGCATACTGGATATCGAAGGTTAGTTCCATCCTTTAGAACGACGTTTTAGTAGCACAAAATTCTAGAATTTCCTATCATCAAAGGATGTAGCTGCACAAATTTTCATTACAAACATTACGCTAGAAGCAAAGATACTGAAAACTTAGTCGAAATAAATGAGAAAGAAAGATATACAGTAAAAAAATTTTGTTTAAATACTTATATTATGTAGAATTTCTGTTGACTTAATGAACTAATTGTTTTATGTATGAGTGAATAGAATTAACAAACTTTCATTATTTATTTTCATGAAAAAAAAAAGGCATAATTGTATTAGTGAATCTGTCGATCAGAAGTTCTCTGCAACCAGCCGGAAACATAACGAGGGGAACAAATTCCCAATTAACATCCCGTGAATCATTTCTACAGCACCGCACCCAATTAGTATGTTTACCCTGTGACTTATCCACGCAACCCTCTAACCCCCTGTTTTTTCAGTCTAAGTTGTGTATGCTCGAAACCGTATGGTTCCGGCGATGTCAGTAATATATTCGGAGGTTTCAAATAAGAAAAATGAGAGAACCTTATAGAAAGTTATATTACGAATGTTTTAAGAAAGGCAGTGGACTAAAAAATTTACGATTTCAGTCATTTTTTGGTTTCTGTCTCCTAAAATTATCGACTTACTAAACAAATAACAAAGTTGTTAATCAGATGTGAATCCTCATTTCTCATACTCTATAGAAAAAGCCCTTATAGTGTCGTGGGACACACCGAAGCTTTTTAAAATGACTCCTATTGAATTTATTCACTAGATGGCAGACTAATCGAATCTACCTCTTTCGCTCTCTCTCTCTCCGCAAGCAGTAACTGAAAGGGAGAAAGATGCCCACTAACGCATTAGATTTTTGACCAATGTTGCCAGATATAAGGAAATTTCTCTAGGCCTAGGAACGTTAGAGTCAGCTTAGTAAAAGATCATTATTCTTTATTACAAGTACAAATCTCGAAGCGGACTTTAATACTGCAGGTGTAGTTAATATTTTCTCTTTTAAAATTAAAAAGGCCTTTTGCTTTACGGGACCTTCTTATTTCATGATTTCTGGAAGTTAACCGCTGTCACGCACAATGTTCGCGATCGATTCTGGTGAAAATTTGAAGCTTTTCCATTCGGTAGTCATAAATATATACTTTTGTTAGTAACGACGTCCTTTTAAAGCTCTAAATAAATAAAATACCAGATGTAAAACTCTTTAAGATAACAGTAGGAAGAACATTAGTCAATGAGGTCTGAGTTCTGCTGAATGAAGAAATAGGAAATTGGTGACCGTTGTAAATAGAATAACAATGAGAGTCTTTTAACCTCAAATTACCATAACACACAGTTTAATTTACAGATAGTAGGTGACAGACATTATCAACATGAGCTTTTGATAAGAAAACATTTGCTTTCTAGGGGTGTAAAAATATTAAGCACCCTCTTTCTTTAGCAACGTCCTTTATCATAGTAGAACTCATTAAAAACTGTGCTAAAGCTCCTTGTCGAATAGAATTAATACGGCCGTGTTCGTGTCGGTCCTTTTTGTTACACAGGTAGGTATATCGAAATGAAAATCCTTGAATAGAGGGTTGCTGAAGTGGCGGTAGCGTGCTTCAATAGTGCCGTGACTAACGTGGTCACGTATAAAAAGACCTGCAAAAGTCGATAGCACCCATAGGCTCTTACAAAAATTAATCTAAATCGAGCGTTGATGCAGGTAATTCTATACCCTACCTACCCTATAACACTTACTCACTTAGATATTATTTCTATGAATATAGTGCTAGGGTGAACAATCATTATGATTGATTAATCGCTTTCTGTACATGCAACGATGACAGCAAAAATTAGTACTGAGGTATTTATTTCTATCTGAAGAGAAGAGACAATAAAATATCAATAACGAACCAAAGAAGTAGTTTCAAATATTTCTTTTCGATGCTCAAGTACAAAACGTTGTAAAATAACTCATAACTGATCCACACAAGTAGGTAAAGAAATAATAAAAATAAATAACGTGCCGCATTTCAACATTGAACGTAGCTAATAGTAAAGAAAGTCTGTGTGTGAACAAAACAATTACTTAAATACGTTAAAACACCTAATTCTACAATAATATCAAACATTCAATACCAAAAAAACGTGATTTTAAATATAGACAATATGGTCCTTCGAGCCGGATATTTCCTTTTTAGAAGCATTTGTAGTTGCTTTAGCCATTGGAACTATCCCATATAGGTGCATGCAAAAAAATAACAAACTAGAACACTTTGTTGCTAATAATTTTTTCATTGCCAATGGAGTTACCAAATTATTAAAAGACGAACAATTCTGTTCATCATTGATAATTTAAATGTTTCTATTTAAAATTTTCGTTACCAAATATTTAGATGAGAAACATTAAAAATTTCATTAGGATAATTCTATTATTATTTC